CTCGTCTTCCTCATGGGTTATTGTACTTGCCGTCTGCCAGCTCTTCTTGTACTGCATTAATGTAGCACCAGCAGATGACATCTTTACAGATATGAACGTCACAGTGCTGCAAGACTGCATTCTTCACTCATACGACTGTTTCCAGCGATCCAGTGGGTGTTTAAAAACGTTTCCCAGAAAACCAGCTTGCGTTTCTGGTTATGTAGGAACACTTATTGATATATGTATATTTTTTGTATGTTTGAGTTTAAATATGATTCATGGTGTATTTGTATATTCTGTAATTTATCAAATCAAATATCAAAACAAAAAGATTGTTTGTAGCTCCTCTCTGTCCTTCAGTACTAGTTTATTTCAAACATCTTAAGTAAGCCAAGGGAGTGAGTTTTAAACATTAACAAACAAAAAAGTTATATTTATCAACACAAGTGGTGTGGATTGTGACCTAGGTTAAGGTTTTAAAAGGTTTTAGAAGCCTATTTTTTTTTCAATACATTTTATTTAAGTTTTTCCTTAGAATCCTACTCTGCACTGTTTTATCATTAATACAAACGGGGTAAATAATGTTTTATGTTTTGATTAAAAGGTAGTTAATATTAAATGTTAGCGAAACCCTAAGAATTCACAACATTTTTTGCAATAGTGCTATCATTATAACGTTATGTATATGACAGAGGTTATTAATGCTCTGCATTTCTGTATTGAGCTGCGCGCGCTGAAGATGACCAGTAGAATGAAGCAGCAGGTTTTTAATCAATGGGATTTAACACATCATTTATCTCATATAGAATACACTTCGTTATTTATACAGCATAACATTAATATTACGACTTATAGGCTATCTGCACAAAAGGCCCCAAATGCGAACATGTCTGCGCGGCTCTGAATGAACTCCTTTTGTGGATGCGTTCTTCACGCAACAACGTGCAGAAACACGGCAACTAAACTCTTAAAAATTTGCAGCGTTTTATTATAATAGTGTTCTCATTATAATGTTATGTATATGACAGTCCCAGTCCATGTTATTAATATTTTGCATTGTTGTTTGTCCTGCTCGCGCTGCGCGCTGAAGAGATAATCACCATAGTACTACAATGAAGTGCTTTACTGCAGCGCAACTCAACCAAATGCATCTTATATGAGATAAATAATATATACACAATATATATAAACTGGCTGAAATGTTTTGAAATCACTTGTACACTACCTGATCGAAAATAATCCAGTCTTTCACTCTTCCTGTGTCAATTTGAGTCTTGTTAAAGTTTTAAATCTCTGCCGCCAACACGCTCCTCTGTCAGTCACGGATTATGGAAAGTGAAACTTAAAACTATAGGGGTGGTTGGATTTATTCACGCACGTTAAACTATTTATTTGAAGCTTCTTTCTTTTCAGATTCTTATTTACAGCATTATTTTAATAGGCTGTATATTAACTTATTGGGAGAAAACTGGTAGTTCTATGTGAAATCACATTAAAATATTTATTTGAAGCTTCTTTCTTTTCAGATTCTTATTTACAGCATTATTTTAATAGGCTGTATATTAAATTATTGGGAGAAAACCAATAGTTCTATGTGAAATCAGACATTTGAGCACGCCCATATAGCCAAAATGGCATGATCATAACACCCCGCGACTATTTGACTGTGAGATTGGTAGTCGAGTCAGGCTCCTCCTGTTGAAGCATCAATTCTTTGACTATTCGGAGTCACCCCTAATATATATATATATACATGCACTACCGGTCAAAAGTTTGGGATCAGTAAGACTTGTAATGTTTTTTAAAATCTCTTATGCTCATCAAGGCTGCATTTATTTGATCAAAAAATAAAATAAAAAAACTGTAATCTTGCAAAATGTTATTACAATATAAAATAAAGGTTTCTATTTTAATGTCCATTAAAATATAATTTATTTCTGTGATGCAAAGCTGAATTTCCATCAGCCATTACTCCAGTATAAAGTGTCACATGATCCTTAAGAAATCATTCTAATATGCTGATTTATTATTTGAATTATCAATGTTGGCAACAGTTGTGCTGCAAGACTGGAGTAATGATGCTGAAAATTCAGCTTTGCATCACAGGAATAAATTAGATTTTAATGTACATTAAAATAGAAAAACTTTATTTTACTCTAAAATTATTTTAATTTTTACGTTAATAATATTTCACAATATTACATTGTTTTCCTGTATTTTTGATCAAATAAATGCAGCCTTGATGAGCATAAGAAACTCCTTTACAAAAACATTAAAAATCGTTCTGATCCCAAACTTTTGACCGTTA